CGCCCCACCGTCTTCCAAGGCGGCTGTATCCGCGGCTCCTTTTCGCTTCTCGCGCGCGTAGTCTTGCTGCCGTCCCCACGGCCGCCGCAACCCTGCGAACCAGGGGGCTACACTCAATAGAAAGCAGCCTGGCCAACGTTCAGCGCAAATCACAGTCTTGAAGTGAAAACAGAGGTGAGTTGAAGTAGTCGGCACCCGGCCCGCACGACGGAGGGGACGTGGGATTCACGGCTGCACGAGGGGCTGGGCGAGAAGGGAAGTTTCGCTCGGAGGAGACACCACGGGCCCGTGTTTCCTGCCTTCCCGTCCCCGGCCCTTCCCTCGGGGCGCGCTGCGGTCCAGGGAGGGTCAGTGCCCGCGGCAGCGGCCACAGCGGGGGGACTGTGGCCACCGGACAGCCGTGTCTTTAAGACGCTCCAAGGTCACTGCCGGGCCTGCGTCGGGGACCAGTGAGCCTACTCTCCCCTGTGGCTGAGAACCTGGGTCCCCTTACGGATGCCCCAAGGAGTAAAGTGCCCCTTGGTCTGACTTGGGTCACCCCCTCCCGGTCCAATTGCTCTGTGCCAACCCACCCCCTTCAGTAAATGGGGAGTGACTGTTTGCTAGACTTGCTCAGTCCTCAACAGGCCTCCTGTTTCTCGGAAAATAATTCATTCCTCTCCCCCTGCCCCATCTTCCTGCTCCTCCTCCCTCCTCTGTTTCCCCTCTCTGCACCTCCCCTTCCCCACTTCCTTCTCTCCTTCAACAAACCTGCACAGAGCACCCACTAGTGCCAGGCCTTGTGCAGGAGACAAGAAAACAAAATAACTAAAGCACAGCTCTGCCATCACGGAGCTCACACTGTGGGCAAGACAAACACACAGACAGCTACTTAAAAAATTTTTTTGTTTTAATGTTTTATTTACTTTTGAGAGAGACAGAGAGACAGCATGAGCAGGGGAGGGTCAGAGAGAGAGGGAGACACAGAATCCGAAGCAGGCTCCAGGCTCTGAGCTGTCAGCACAGAGCCCGACACGGGGCTCGAACCCACGAACCGTGAGATCATGACCTGAGCCAAAGTCGGACGCTTAACCAACTGAGTCACCCAGGTGCCCCAGACAGCTACTTTTTTTAATGTAATAAATTCTGGGATAAAAATAATCAGGCCCGGGGCGTCCAGGTGGCCCAGTTGATTGAGCATCGGACTCTTGGTTTTGGCTCAGGCCACGATCTCACAGTCCCTGAGTTTGAGCTCTGCATTAGTCTCTGCACTGATAGTATGGAGCCTGCTTGGAATTCTTTCTCTCTGTCTCTCTCAAAATAAAGAAAGAAATGATTTTTTTAAATAAATAAAATAAAATAAGATAAAATAACCAGGCTATTATGGAAAGAATGAAGAACGTTCTTAATATTTTGTGATTTGCCTTTTAATTTTTATTGGAAGGATAAATGAATAATTTTGTGTACAAAATTTTTAAATTTTTTATAAAGCCAAATGTGATATTATTTCCTCTGAGCTGTTTAAATACATGTTCTCATCCATCCAGAAATTAAATATTAATCTTTAATCATTCTAGTGTTGTTTAATTTTCATGTTTACATTTAACTCATTAATCATCTGAAACATATTCTCATGTATGATGTGAGAAGACACTCTGACTTAATTTTTTTCTAAGAGCTTATGTGTTTAGTATACAATGAACACCGACAAAGTGATAAGAATAATAACAATGACCTGATAATGAAAAATGGGTGAAGATTATGAACAGGAAGTTCACAGAAGGAAAACAAGGCACCAATATATATATGACATATACTCAACCTAATCTTCACCACGAATCGAACAAATGCAAATTAAAACACTAAAATACCATTTCCACCTATCTTTATGGCAAAGACTAAAAACGACATTCTGATATGGTTACATTGAAATGGACACTCTTGTGCTGCTGATAAAAATAAACATGGTTACAACTTTTCTGGAGAATGAGTTGGTGATCATTTCTAAGGAGTCACTGAAAACTGGGGAGAAATATTTATGCACATAAGTATTTAATACTTTTATAGCAGAATTTTTAAAAAGCAATTTTATGTCCAATAATATGATGACAATGAACAATATTATGATGTATTTTACTGCCATATTGACATTTTATGAATCCTTAGAAATCTTGTTTCCAAAGAGTTTTTCATGACAAGCTAAATAATCATTATATAATGTAAAGTTTAAAAAATGCTATATCTATTTATTTATATGTAAAATAAAGCTATATGTATACTGTGATCTCAGTCATGGAAGGTAGAGAGAAAAAGAAAGTGAAATATGTCAAAATTGTAAATGTCTAAAACAAAATATGACAAAGTTAAAAAATGGTTGCCTTTTCTGGGTGGTGTAATTGTGGGTGCTTTTTTTCTTCCTCCTTTATATTTTCTATATGTTTCTAAATTTTGTACAATGAAAGTATGATGCTTTATATAAGAAGGTAAAAACGTGGGCTGCCTGGGTGGCTTGGTCATTTAAGTGCCCGACCCTTGATTTCAGCTCAGATCATGATCTCTCTGTTTGTGAGACCGAGTCCTGCATCTGGGTTGTGCTGCCAGTATGGAGTCTGCTTGGGACTCTCTCTCTCCTCTCTCTGCCCGGCTCACACTTGCTCACCCTCTCTCTCTCAAAATAAAGAAAACAAACATAAAAAAACCAAGGAAGGTAAAATGGACGCTGGGCTCTAAGGTCATTAGGTTACTTTGAGCTATAATTCCCAGTGTTTTTTTTTGTTTGTTTGTTTGTTTTTGTTGTTAAGTAAGCCTTACGCCCAGTGTGGGGCTCAGACTCTGAGATCAAGAGCCGCATGCTCCTTTGACTAAGCCAGCCAGGCATCCCCAGAGTACTTTCTTATCACTAGGCTTTGTTGACATCCCACTGATAATAACCGAGTATATTACAAGCTTGCAATGCTGTTTTGGCATGTCATTGCCTGAGATTTCTAAATCTTGGACAAGATTTCAATGTTGTCTGTAGAACTGACGTGCAAGATTGTGATCTTTTAAGAAGTTTGTCAATGCTGCCAGAAGATTGATCCTTAAGATAGTAATACAAGTAGAAGATAATAAAGTTTTACTTGTAAATGTGACATATACAGTATAACAGTTAATGCAGCCATTAATTATCCAAGAGATGTTTTAATTTTACTATATTATAATAACATTTGTAATAATGTAAGCCAAGGAGATAAACCCAGTCTGCTCAGAATGATAAACAGGTATAAACTCCTGCGTGTGAATGTGTGGCCACGTGCCTGTCACGCCCCAATTCTTGTCCTTTGTTCCCTCCTGGGGAGAAGGTGCACAGAAGGAGGGAATGGGGAGTCCTACCTCCGGGCCTCCAGTCTGCTCAAGGGAAGGGTAGGAGGTCCCCCAGCTGGAGAGGGAACTCTCCAGGGCACCGTCTCTGGCAGTTAGCTGCGGGACAAGCATCTCCTTCTATGGGTCACTGTGGAAGGACTGGCTGAGGCCCTGGGCCGGCTCCTCAGGTGGCTCTTGCTTAAGTCAAAGCAGGGCACTCGGTCAGGACCTGGTGGGCCTCAGCGGCAAAGCCCTTCAAGTTCTTGACGATTGTCCCTCACAGTGATGCTGCTCTTTGCCCCCACATTCAAGACGGGGGGGTTGGGGGTGGGTTCTGGAACAAGTGTCTTGGTGTCTGTCCCAGGCCCTTGGTGACCCAGCTCAGCAGTTCCTGATTTGTTCCTCCTCTCTCTCCGTCTCTCTCCGTCTGCCCCGTCCTCTCGTATCTTACTACACCAGGGGCCTTTCTTTGTCGTCTCTCGCAGCAGTCTTCAGATGATCCCTTAAAACCAGACCCCAAATCTTTACCAGTCCCCTGCCGTGTCCCCGCCGTGGGCTCCTCTCTCCTCCTGGGCAACGATGGCTCCGTCTTGGGGTCACATCACTTCCTCTGTGACAGGTTGGTACTTACGGCTCCTCCACGGCAGGTTACGGACTAGCGAGAAGGCACAGGCGCCTCTGTGCCCGCCCAGCCTGTGCCGCCCCCACGGGAGCCTGCAGCTCTCAGCCCACCCCCCACACTGCCGAGCTCGCCACCCCCCCTGCTCAGGCCGCCACCCCCACTGCTCACCCCCCACTGCTCAGGCCGCCACCCCCACTGCTCAGGCCGCCACCCCCCCTGCTCAGGCCGCCACCCCCACTGCTCACCCCCCACTGCTCAGGCCCCCCTGCTCAGCCCGCCGCAGGGGCGGGAATAACCACTGAGAACCTCGAGCTGTTCTCCCGCAGGCTCTTAAACAGAAAATAGAAGGGTAACAGAAAATAGTTTCTAAAAAGCAGAAAAAAGCATATCTCTGTACACATCTTTTTCTGCATCTCTAATTATATCCTTAAGAACATTTTTAAGGCTCTTGGCACATCTTTTCAAATTGATTTTCCAGAAGGATTGTGCTGATGTATACTCCCATCAGAGTGTGACCTTCCTAACACGTCTTGTGAATGTTGTCTCTATCTTGTTCTTTAAATATTTCAGTTCTGGATTTTGACTAAATCTACGGCACGATGTTCCACGTGGGTCTGTTTTTCATCCTAGCATTGCGGCCGACCCCCACAGCCCCGGACAAAGGGGGCTCAGCACTCGCGTTCTACGTTCAGGGAGCCTTCGAGAGCCTTCTGGACTTCCCGAGACAGGCCAGGGGCAGCCCCCCGCCACCAGTCAGCTCTCCAAAGCCCCTCACCCCCCAGGTCACCGGGAGACTGCCGCCCACGCAGGGAAGGACGGCAGGGGAGCGACGCAGGGCGAAGGACGCGAGGCGAGACGCAGCTCGCAGTAGCCGCGGGCCTAGAGCCGCCTCCGCTGAAGTGGATGGTGGGAGTTGAGCGCATGCGTGGATGGCGGCTGGACCCGCCACAGCCGCGGCCGGACGGTGCAGGCGGTGTGCGGCCGAGGGGGGCGGAAGCCTGTTCAAGAGGCCAGATGGGAGCTGCACCTGCCAAGTCAGGGTCGTGCGCAGACTCACTCCTCCTGGGGCCTGAGGCTCGCTCCGCACGACCCGCCCAGGCTCCCGCGGAAGCTCCGGCATTTGGGGGACCGCCTCCCAGAGCCCTTGTCAGCCGGGACTGGCCAGACAGGGATGCGCAGCAGGAGGAGGAACTTGGCACGAGACAACGCAGCGAAGCCCCCGGGCCCCTCACCCGCACGAGAATGCTCCGGTGTCTCCAACATTTCCTAAATGTCTGTAAGCCTTAGCACTGAATCCCGGGTCTGCACCTGACAGACATCACATGTGGAGACTCTTCTTTCCTTGTCCAGCATCAGAGATGCCAGGAAAGAGGCAAGGGTGGGGACGTTAATTTACCCACCGCCCATTTCCGGTACCAAGGCATTTGTGCAGCATGTGTTGAAAGTAAAGAATCTGCCCAAAATGTCTTCAAGGGACTAGCGACCCAGTGGAAAAGGTAACTTGATTTTGGAAAAAATTACTGGGGGAGGGAGATATATACTGTATTTTATGTTATGTTCTAATGGATTTAAATGAACTAGATTCAAAAGTTATGGAAAGGTATAGGGGCGCCTGGGTGGCTCAGTTGGTTAAGCATCCAACTCTTGATTTTGGCTCAGGTCATAATCTCTTGGTTCAGGAGATCAAGCCCTGCATGGGGCTCTGCACTGACAGAGGAGGCTGCTTAGGATTCTCTCTCTCTCCCTGGTTCTTTCTGCCCCTCCCTAGCATGAGTGCACCCATATTCTCTCCAAACAAACAAACATTAACAAACTTCATTATGAAAAGGGTGTATAACTGTGGTTCTCAAATTGTATGTTGAGGTGTCCTGTGCACAGTCAACTCACAAGGACAGTAAGAGATGTTTTAAATTTTGTTCCTATTTAGTTTACAAATCTGTAGGAAAACAGAAGGAATGTCTGTTGGACACCACTCTGCTAACTCCAGGCAGCTCCTAGTTTCAACACTGGATCACACTGCATTCCTTGCAATGGCATCTAACTTTGCACAGCTGGGATTTTGCAGGGGCCATGATAAAAAGCAATGAGTGAAGGTCACTCATTGGAAAATGAGTGGCAGCAGCATCTAGTCTTGTTCCAGGATTTGAGGAATTGTGCAGTGCCCAACAAGCACACACATCCCATTAGCAGTTGTGGTTACTTAACGATAAAATAAACATTGCAAAAATAAAATAAAATAAACATTGCATTTTTTTCTTTCAGTTTAAATGTTTTTTTTTTCCAAATGGCTACTAGGTTTTTAGGACACAAATATTAAGTTGCTTAGACCTAACTACATAATAAATGGAAGTATTAGGTAGTTCTGTTGGCATAGGGGCACTGAGAAAATATTACTGAGACATTAGAATACACAGACTAGAATGTTCAATAGTACAACAGTTCAATGTCTCTCTCCCTGACAGTAAGTTCTCACCCAGAGAGGCAACTACAGATACTTATTGCTTGTATGTCCTGGAGATATTGAATGCACATAATGATAGCTAACATGTATTTGAATTTTACTTTGTGTCAAGCACTCTTCTAGGTTTTGTATATATTAATGAATTTAATTCTCTATGATGCAGTCGTAATATATTCCTGTTTTATAGATGAGGACACTAACACTCAAAGGCTAATTAACTGCCCAAATCCACACACTCGATAATGCCTTCAGGGTCAGAGCTCTTAGACTTAGTCTCTATTACCTTTGTGCCAAGTTTGGATATTATCTTTAGGATTATTTTTAAGTTATCTCTACACCCAACATGGGTGAGACCCAATTCTGAGATCAAGAGTCACATGTTCTGACTAAGCCATCCAGGCACCCAATGTATGTTACCTTTTTTTAAATATAATCTTTAAAAACATGCTACTTTGATAGGGGAAAAATACCAGTTGTTTGAATATTAGTGAAGGTAGGCATTATTTTTTACATATGATTACTGGTCATTTATATTTATTCTTTCCATGAGTTTCCTTTTGTATGAACCTCTTTAAGCTTTCAAAATGTCACTACTTCCTAGGATCTCTCTAAGAAATTAATGTGTTAATTACTTTTGAAGTAATCAGGCAGAAGGGCCAATTATTGTGCTAACTGGAATCTTCTGCTCCTCTAGATTTCAGTAGGTCAAATTCATTTTTTAAAATTAGAAGCTTACTTTCAGGGCGCCTGGGTGGCTAAGTCAGTTGGGCGTCCAACTCTTGATTTCGGCTCCGATCATGATCTCGCAGTTTGTGAGTTTGAGTCCCGTTGTCGAGCTCCATGCTGACAGTGCAGAGTCTGCTTGGGATTCTCTCTCTCCCTACCTCTCGCTTTCTCACACAATAAATAAATAAACTTTAAACAATAAAAAGCAAAATTAGAAGTTTACTTTTCTAGGGACACTTGGTTGGTTCAGTTGGTTGTGCATGTGACTCTTGATCTTGGGGTCGTTGAGTTCGAGGCCCACATTGGGTATAGAGATTACTTAAAAAATAAAATCTTAAAAAAACGGTTTTAGAAAAAGTTTACTTTCTAGAGACCTAAGCCTAATCTTGAGGCTTTTCCTTCATCACTTCTAGATTAAAATGGTTATTTGAGAAAAAAAAGAGAGATCAATCTAACTCATAAAAGAAACCTTAAAATGTTTGTCTGACAATCAATGATTGTGAGTGCTACAGAAATCACTTAATGCTACTTGTTTCTCTCTTTTTAAAGTATGTATGTATGTATTTAGAGAGAGTTTATACCAAATTAATGTAAATAGATAACTGTTGCAAGCCTTTTTTCTTCACAATAATGGGTTACATGATCATAGCTGAAACAAAAAGAGCTACTAAGATAATAAGAATACTTGTGGAAATACTCTTATACAAATATTTGGTGGTGTGATTTCCTTTACTCTAGAATATAGTACAGAATATACTGATACTGATATACTTGTCTGTGGCTAACCATAGCTGCCTGGAGTTCCAAATCAAACCAGCAAACAGCAGAGGGAGCTGGTGAAGTGCTTTTGCAAGTGAGACCTAAGCTCACTCTGAGGGGCCACAAAATTTCTCGGCAAGTTATTTACCTGGAGGGGAAGCTAAGAATTCTTTCTTAAATCACCTATAAATTGCAATACTTTCTTTTAGTTTTTTCCTTTTATATCTGTATATTCTATTTTTAAATTTTTTAATGTTTTTTAAAAAAATTTATTTCAGAGAGAGAGCGAGCATGTGAGCAGGGGTGGGTCAGAGAGAGAGGGAGACACAGAATCTGAAGCAGCTCCAGGCTCTGAGCTGTCAGTACAGAGCTCGATGCGAGGCTCGAAACCACAAACCATGAGATCATGACCTAAGCTGAAGTTGGACGCTTAACAGACTGAGCCACCCAGGTGCCCCTATATCTGTATATTCTAGAAAGGTGCTGTTGAACCTACATAGTCAGAAACAAATATTGAGCAGGTTTCTATAACGTTAAGGCAAATCTGTAGTATATGCTACCCCCCCCACTCAAACAAACAAACAAACAAACATGGAGAATTGTTGAGGGAGCCCTTGAATGGCATGACTTACTCTTTTCTTGAGCCATTATGGACACCTAATATTTGTTCATTCCTTACTGAGTCAACAAAAATACATGGAACAATATTATGCTCAATATATGTATTGAGCATCATTGTACATACATTGATTGAATGCTTAAAGTCAAAGCTTGAATGTAAAACCCCTGGGCATTTCTACATAAATTTATCACAAGCCTTTGCAGGACAGCACAATAAGGCAGGTAGGATTTTCAGATTCCATTCATAAACTCTAAGGCCATTACTTTCATCAAAGTTGACATTAGTAGGGCACGTGGCTGGCTCAGTCAGTATAGCATGCAACTCTTGATATCGGGGTTGTAAGTTCAAGCCCCATGCTGGGTGTAGAGATTACTTTAAACAAATGATTTTTTTTAGAAAGTTGAAATTTGTAGGAAGTAATAACTTCCAGATTTAGATGAATTTAGAACTTTGGAGACAGAATTACTCTAACATTATAGAAAGACACAGGTTTACTTCAGATATGACTGTTTCTTTGTTTCTTTCTTTCTTTCCTTCTCTTAAGTAAATGTGTAAAGAGGACTGGTTGGGGCAGTCTTGGACAAGAAGTGGGCTTGAGCTTTGTTGGAAGATACACAGAATGAAAATCACTGCAGGAGGCAGAGATGGTATGACAGGTGAGGGGAATGACAGTCAGAGGGCAGAAGCCCAAATGCAGTTGGTGTGGGCTGGTCTCTCAGCCCAGCCTGGCTGAGGTAGGTTGTGACTTCTGTAGTTCAAAAACAAGCAAAGCAGCTCTTGCCAAATACCATATTCCTTTGCACTAGCGTCAGAGGATGCAGTTTCAAAGAGATGCATTCTCTGAAGCAGTGGTTCTCAAAGTTTTTGTTTTGGAATGCCTCCACATTCATTCTTTCTTTTTTAATTTTTTTTTACTTATTTATTTTTGAGAGACAAAGTGCACGAGCCGGGGAGGGGCAGAGTGAGAAGGAGACATGGAATCCAAAGCAGGCTCCAGGCTCTGAGCTGTCAGCACAGAGCCCCACACGGGGCTTGAACCCATGAACCGTGAGATCATGACCTGGGTGGAAGTCAGACATTCAACCAACAGAGCCACCCAGGTATCCCTTAAATGCCTCCCCATTCTTTTTTTTTTTTAATTTTTTAATGTTTTATTTATTTCTGAGAGAGAGAGAGACAGTGTGAGCAGGGGAGGGTCAGAGAGAGAGAGGGAGACACAGAATCTGAAACAGGCTGTAGGCTTTCAGCTAGCTGTCAGCATAGAGCCCGACGCAGGGCTCGAACCCACAAACTATGGGATCATGACCTGAGCCGAAGTCGGACACTTAACTGACTGAGCCACCCAGGCGCCCCAGATGCCTCCACATTCTTAAAAAAAAGTATTCACAGGGGACCCACTGAAAGCTAAGAGGGCCTCTCTCCACTTAAGAGGTTGCTTAGGAAGCTAATTGAGTCAGCTGAGGGGTTTCCCCACTCTCCTGGGCGTCTATCAGAAAACCGATATCAACTGCTTTGTGTCCGTGTTGTTCAAAGAACCCTATCTTTGTTGTAGGTCCTTCTCAGTGCCTAGGAGACCCGGAGGCTTTCAAAGGACCAGCATAGGGGCGCCTGGGGGGGCTCAGTCAGTTAAGCATCTGACTTTGGCTCAGGTCATGATCTCACAGCTGGTGAGTTAAAGCCGGGCAATGGGCTCTCCAGTTCAGAGCCTGGAGCCTGCTTGGAGTCTGTGTCTCCCTCTCTCTGCCCCTCCCCCACTCATGCTCTGTCTGTCTGTCTGTCTCTCTCTCTCTCTCTCTCTCTCAAAAATAAACATTAAAAAAGGAAACCCTTAAAAATATAAAAATTTAACTGTGGTTGAAAAAACTACAGTAACAAAATTTATCCTCGTAGCCATTTTTAAGTATTCAGTTGTGTTAAGTATTAACAGT